GCCTCAAATGAACGATCGGAATGCACTAGAAAGGCACCTTATCTCCACCTCTGGTTGATAACTGTTCCCTGTCTCCCCAGAGTATCAGATTAGCTAGGAAACTGGCTTCTGGTGTCACACACATGGACACACCTGCGCTTGACAGTTGAATAAGACGTAAAAGTTCACTAAAATTATTCCCTCACTTGTAATTAAAGAACATAATCTATAAATATTGTCCACATCATAGCAGTGTTGTAAAGATGAAAGTAAATGCATATGAACAGTTTACAAAGGTTGGACATCATTAGCACTCAATAGATTCTCACTATCAAGTTTGAAAATATATCTTGAGGCTAGAATAATGTGCTCCACGCAGTACATGGTACTTTAGTGGATAGGAAATATGCTGGTCCTACAAGAAGCAATTGTGGTTTGCAGTGAGATACAAAGGTGGGCAAGCCAAAGAATGCTCAAGGAAATAAGCTATTTACTGTTTACTATTTACTATTTACTGTTTACTATTTACTATTCACTATAATTTACTATTCTTTCAGTGACTTCCCAAAGCAATTTCCTAATGCAACTTCAAAGGAGAGGCCAGGAAATCGAATTTAGGTCACATTAGCTAGATATGTGTGGGTCTGAGTTATTGTGTGACGTGCCCACTCACATGTCAAATAAAGGGGTGATCTTATCCCTGCTTCGACTTCATTACTGGCCAAGTGCTACTACCCTAACCCTGTACCTGCCCAACTGCTGAAACCCCCATTTTCCTGGAATTCGGCAGTTGTCATTAGCAAAATGTTCCCCCATCTCAACATTTTCTCTGAACCATTACTGCACTTCCTGCTCTACAAATTCTGGCTTTCTTCCATGTACACTGCTACCCCAGAACACTGCCAAGAGGAATTCTTGGTCGTTTCTACATGTCTTGTACTACTGGGCCTGAAAACTCAGTGGTGACCTACACACTCCTGGCTGTCCCTCTGATCATTCTCCCTCCCTGCTCCTTAGGTACCCCCAGCATTGTGTCTAGTACCAACAAACTGTATTCTTTTGGGTGACTCTTCCTGGAAACCTGTAAAGAATCATCTCTTCATGGATCTGTCCAAGTCAGCATGATGAAGCAATGAATTTACTGGGGTGACCTATAAGAACACAGACAACTGAAAGACAGAGTAATCATCTCAAAGTTGGTGGTTTACCTCTCACAGTGTGGTTACCAGACTCTCAGGGAAGGAAGAGCCTTCCTGAGCTTCCCAAGCTTCCTCCCTGCTCTGTGAATAGAGCCCGACATGGTGTTTCCCACAGGGCACCATAGCTTCTCTGCTTCAAGACCAAAGAGAAACTGAAGCAAGAAGAGGCCTCAGTTGGCCCCTCCATGTTGTGTGCTCACCCTCCTTCCCTCCTCTGAAACTCCCTGACTTTTCCCACTTACTCCTTTTGAGCCTGTCTACGCCTCCCGCAAAGACCAGCCTCTTCATCTGAGTTGATCCCATTCTCTTGTCTTATTGCGAGGTAGCAGTATAGAACTCGTCCCATAGCCCATTTCTCCTCCCCTGGAATTATCCTCCAGTAAACAATGATTCTAATATTTTTCCATTAAAATGAAATATTCTGTGGATTCTACTTCTCTTTCCAGCCATTTTTCCATTTCCTTTTCACCTCAAAAATCCATGAATGAGGGGCTCAGCAGGTAAGAGCACTGACTGCTCTTGCAGAGGACCCGGATTCGCTTCCCAGCACCCACATGGTGGCTACGAACCGTCCTTAACTCCAGTTCCAGGGGAATCCGAAGTCCTCTTCTGACCTCCGGGGCATTGCATGACACAGGTGTACTCACATACATGCAGTCAGTACACTCATACACATAAAATAAAACTAATAAATAAAAAACAATCCCTGAATGAAGTGTCTGTGAGTCTGGTCTCTTGCTTGCTCCCTCCTCATGAAGCCACCCCATTAAGGCTATAATCTTTCCATTCCATGAAAGTTGCCTTTGTCTCGCTCAAGGTCATCAATACTCTCACAAAGATGGATCCAGATATGTTTTGCTCCTTCTTCCCTTTCCCCTTTGCCACCCTCTCTCCCGCTCCCCATCAATCCCTCCCCCTCTCTCTCTTATCCCAACCCCCACTGATGTCAGGAGTTAAGCAGGGTTGAGCCTGGTTATTACTTGAATAGGAAGAAGGATTGACATGTTTGAATCACTGCCTTCCAAGAAATACGTTCCTCACTTTGCTTCCCGCACAGAAAACATGTTTCATGTCCCTTTACTAATCCTCAGTCTAATCATTTCCTAGAATCTCTCCAGTCTCTTCAAAGTCAAGTGTCCTTGAGCTCAGCCTTGTGCCTCTTTTCTTCGCAATTTACCTTCAGTTCCTTGGTGACCTCAACCAATGTCATGTCTATAAAGATGCCAATACACTGAAAACGTTCAAGTGTCTATCCCCAGCCAGATCTTTCCCCTGAATTTCAGTTGTCACTTAACATGTCCTCCCAGAAAATGAAACACAATCTCATGTTCTGTGTCCAAACCTGAATGCTTGCTCAACAAACCTGCCCTAAACCACTTTTCTTTCGGAAATACTACCTTCCAAGTTGTGATGGTCAATGCTGGCTGTCAACCTGACAGGACCTAAAATCACGGAGGAGACAGACCTTTGGGCGTGTCTATGAGAGAGTTTCGTGACTGGGTTGACTGAGATCCAAAGACTCATTCTAACTACAGGTGGCATTATTCCATGGACTCGAGTCTCAGACTGAATAAAAAGGAGAAGAACCCTAGCATTCATCTCTCTATTTTCTGACAGTGGACGCAAAGCCACCCACTGCCTCCAGCTCCTGCTGCCATGATGAATTCTATCCTCATCACTGCCATGCCTTCCTCTTCAGCACGGCCGCCTCCCTGCTCACTAATCCTCCTCCTTCCTCTTCTCAGACCTGGTGATCTCGCTGAGAGATCAACCCACTTGGGATCGTTGTCTTTCTACCTTAAAACTTTACTTTGGTTCAATATCTTGCTGAAAACAGTATCTTGATACCAAGATACTATGTAACGTGGCTCTCTGACTTTGTATCTTACAAAAACAACCCCTGTATATCCACCTTTTGATGTTTCTAGGGCATTCCAGGCACTCTGCTGCCTCAAGACCTCTATAATCATTGTTCCCTATATCTAGAACTCTTAATTCTTAAATCCCTTCTCCCCGATTCCACTAAGGACTTTATTCATTCCCTGGAAGAAACTTCTCTATTCATTTCCCAGTATCATCTGCCATTAGCAAATAAGCTATACATCTTATATATAGATTTTGCATATTGTCTATCTGTCAAAGTACTCAATTGTTACTAGAATTTGGCTTTTGTTAATTACAGTACTTGTTCACCAGGTGTGGTGGTACATGCCTTCAGTTCCAGCACTCAGGAGGCAGAGGCAGGCAAATCTCTGGGAGTTCAAGCTCAGCCTGGTCTACAGGCCAGTCAAGGCTACACAGTAAGACCCTACCTTAAAAAAAAAAAGAAAAGATCAGTACTTGACTTATAAAAAAAGCTCAAGATGTGTGATGAGAGAGTACATGTGTAGTCACACACATAAGTACCACTATGCCAAGGATGACCCTGGAATATTCTCTTTCATCTTTCTTGGGGTGAAGAATGTGTCCCACTCACCAGCTCATCTAGAATTCAGAGCTGTGTTTCTGTGCTTTGCCAAAGCACTATCTCAACAATGGTGGTAGAGACTCAACAGACAGGACTAAGGACATCAAGTCAAGTGCAGGATGCTAACGATGTACAGGACACCGCAGCACTGAGTAAGAAAGAGGCTGTTTCCAATGTTGAGTCCATAAACTCGTGTGCAGCTCAAACAGGAATGAAGGAACCTCGGGCTTCAGTGGCCTATCAAAGGGCACAGCAGTTTAAAGGGCTGAGGTGTTCAGTCACCCTGCTATGGCTGTTAACAAAATGAATGACCTGTGATTAGTACTGAAACATGAGCTTTCTGTGAGTATCCTTTAAGGTTTGTTTGCTTAAAAGTAATTTACTGATTCCTATGAGTCCACAGATGGAGACTTTAATTACATAGCTTTTCTCCCAAATAGTGACCTGTGTCCATTTGTGGGACCAGTGGATTGGCTGGGAGCAAGAACAGCAGTTTCTATGGAAGAGCACTACAGCAGTCTCTCACACCGACCGAACCCTGAAGCAACTGTCCTGAGAGAGATGAAAGAAGATCACAGGGAGTCAGAGGTGGAAAAATGTCCACTTCAGAATCCCAGAAGGGCTCCTCACATTACAGAAGTGTCCAACCTCAATATAGCTCATGTTGCCCTTGTTTCTACAAATAGAAACTAACATTTATTTACAAAGGAGAAACAAAGAAACAAAACTATCATAAAAACCAGAACAAGTGGTAATGGAACACAGCCATTCTAAACTGCCATTCTCAGTCTATCCACAGAAATAATAGCAATAGAAATGACCAGGAGCCCTCTGTTACTTTGAGCTAGATATACACAGATGCTGGTAATACACAAGAAAATTACTCATAGACATATACACTGCTTTAATAAACAATAAAAAAGGAAAGAAGCTCTAGTGTTTTTAGGGGTCAATCTTTTAAAATAAAAATTGATAAATTACAAATATTAGTAAGAGGTCGAAATGCAGCAGAGAATTACATCTGTCATGTGGAGAACCAAAAAGCGACTTCATGGGATTGTACATAATTTTTTAAAATATTTTTTTATTATTTTTAAATGTATGAGTGTATTGCCTGCATGTACATAAGTGCACTCATGTAATGCCTGTGGATGTCAGAAGAGGACATCAGATTCCCTAGAACTGGAGTTAGGGACAGTTATTAGATTGTTAGCCACCATGTGGGTGCTGGAAATTGAACCCGGGTCCCCTGCAAGAGCAGCCAGTGCTCTTGACCACTAAGCCATCTCTCCAGCCCCGATGGTACATAACTTTAAAGAGAGCTAGGGCATGTATGCTGGGGTGGGCACACTCACCCCCATTCTCCTCTCCATTGGCACTGGCCTCCGCCATCTCAGTGCCATCCAGGTCTGTGTCACAGACTAGATCCAAGGCTCCGTCCACTGGGCATGATGACTCCTCTTTCTATATTATTTAAAAAAGCAAAGATTTATACCATTGTATTAGCAACTAAACACATGAAGTATTATTAAAGTTATAGGTGATTCAGAATTTTAACACAATCTATTTTTAATGTAAAAATTACTTCAAAATACTGAGAAAGGTCCATTTCATGGTTGTTATTGGGGGTTGGACATTTTAAAATCTATACAATAAAAAGTTTCAAGTTGACATATATTGTTTGCATTTTTTTCAATCCTATGGTCTTTCTGATATAAAGCAATGGACTGACAACTCAGAATTTTGATCAATAAATTAGGGACCCGGGTAGCTATCAAAAACAAGTCAAAAGAATACAAGTCATTTCAAAGCACTTGTGTTATTTTCTGAATCCCACATGTGACAAGATCAAGAAGACTTCCTGCTTTTCTTTTTCAGTTATAACTTTAGGCAATAAAATAATTCTTAAAGTAAATTAATTAACTTTAAATATAATCTATCATTTATTTAAGCAGTGACTTGTTTTAATTTAGAAAGATAATATACTAAAATATACTAAACTTAATTATTCTAATGGATCATAATTATTCTGTCAGATCATGAGAGTCTGTCGTGTAGAATTTTGTATTTTCGATGGTACATTCTACTCTAGAGAGCAATGAGGATCCACTAACAATCCCACTAAAATAATTATGACTCATTTATCCAAAGCCTTTCCATTTTTCTTTCTTTTTTGTCTATTTTTCTTAAATAACAAGGATGCATTATTGGGAAGGGGAAAAATGTGCTGAGATAGTCTGTTATCAGACTAAGTACCTGGATTAAATCAATGCGTTTTTAAGCATCAGGAAAGATTTTCTTGTTTGTACAGAAGGAAAGGCACATAGGAGTAAAACCCTATATAACTGATTATCATTAACTGATTATCATTAAATCAAGGAGTTTATGACAGCCGCGATTACCTAAAACCCTGGCTGATGGTCTACAACACTCCTCCCCATAAATTTTAAAGAATTAAGAATTTTTAAGGAAGCCAAAACTATTTTCTGTTATCCTTTATTATGGAGTGAAACTACACATAGATGTCTGTGAGAGAAGTCTATCACTGTTTACTCTTCATCTGAAATCATGTTTCACATCTGAGGATGTGTGACAGGCCTGGAGGCCATTCTCTGACTTTACAGTAATCTACATTTTTTACCTTCATATGCTGGAAAAGAGTACACAAAACAGTAAAAATACACAATATGCAAAAGAGTCCAACTTACTTTGAGAGCATAGAGGCCTGACTTTCCAGGGATTTTGAAGAACGTTCCATCCCCTATCCGAGTGTTCGTGTGAAGCATTGCATTGAGACAGGCTAATGGAGAAGTTCCACTAGAAAAGAAAAGTGAGGGAGAAATGAACCAAGCTGAGATGCAGCTTCTGAAGCAAAACCAAAGACTGGGACGCTTAAAAAAAAAGACCTTACATGCCTTTAAAAATATCCTCCCATCCTCAAAAACATCTACATTACAATAAAGGGCCAGTCCAGTTTTGCCAAAGTTAATCAGATTCATCTGCTTTACAGGCTTCAGGCAGAATGTCTTCTAAACTGAAATTATGCTTTTATTCACAAAGCAACCAACACTGTGTTTTAAAAACCAAAGCTCAAACTTTTATGTGGCGTTATTGTGTAAAGTGACACTACGAAGCCTCAGTTTTAAATTATTACAGAAACTACTTGGTGGGTTCCACTTGAATGATCACAAAAAAAAAAAAAAAAAACCAAGTTCAAGGGCAGCTCCATCTCATAGGTTGAACAGCAACAAAAGAATAATAAGAAACCGGGGGAGAGCTGATTTGAAATTGTAAGCATTTAGGCCCTCCTAGAACCGCACTGCTCACATCTGTGTCATCTCTCCACTAACCTTTTACAATGCCATCCTTTCCTCAGGCACGTGAATTAAGGAAACTTGTTTGGGAGTACTGCCCAGATAATAATATGTTCTGTAGTAAAGCTGTAACTAACTGAATTGCAAAATCATTATGTAAAAGAAAGCAAACTACATTACATTAATGATTGAAAATATCAGTGTACAGATATACAAACACTGCTGAAATGAATTCGTATTCCTGTAAAGATGTTTATGAAACGTAGGATAAATTTAGACCTTTTTTGCATTTTTCTTGCAGGTTAATTTTTTTTTTTTTTGCAAGCTAGAATTTGAACATATGATCACTGCTTTGATTTGATTAAGGGTTTATATGCGTATTATTTCTTATCAAGCCAAAAGAGCAATATTTGGTAAAAATCAATGTGGATTAGAAGCCTTACCTCCACCCTATAGGCCCCTTGGGATTTTTGAGGTTTTTAACTCAAAATATTCTGAGAGAGGGAGCTTTTAAGATAATAAGCTTTCAATTTCTGAGTTTCTGTGGAAAAAAAAACATGTGACGCTACTAAATTAAAATTTTTCTAAAAGCCAAGACAATCAAACCCCTTACTTAGGATGAAAGCTCACCAGTAAAAGGAGAAAGACAAAACTACTGATTTCCAGTGCACACTACGGCGAGGTGACATGTACGTGCATCCTGGCCCTGAAGGTTGGGAGGCATTATAAATAATGGGAGCATTCTTTATAATTTTAGAAAGCAGTTTTTATACTTGGTATGCATGTGTGCGTGTGTGTGTGCATGTGTGTGTGTGTGCGTGTGTGTGTGTGACTGATTCCATCAGGTTGGATAGAAAACAAGAGTCCTCCTATAAATTTAGTCCTAGAACTATGTGATCGTACGACTGCAGCTCACGCAGGAACAGTGCTTTGGACTTATGTAACATCTCTCCTCATGAACATCCTACAAGCTCACTGACCTCATTTCATTATTTTCCCTTGTGAAAGATGTTTGCTTATATGTAAGAGGGCCCAGGCATATCTATGCAGTAAAATAGATTCATCTCCACAGAAATATCTCTCTACGAATGAATTCCAAATAAATAATGCAACACGAGTTATACTGAACACTGCAAAAAATATGTATTTTTTATATTATACTCTCCAGACAAAAGCACAGAAAATTTGAAGCTGGGAATGATTTTGCCAGATTTCTGGAGTTTTAAATTAGTATAACTGTCAGAAATACATACTCATGAGAAGCCACATAAAATCCAATACATAAAAATGACACCATTAGATTTTTTAAAACCATAAGTATAGAAGTTTCCACCCAACATAAAGCCCCACAATATTCTCCTGCCCTTCCTTATTACATTCATAATGTGCACAACACCAAGGACACAGGTTTAGAATATTTAAATGAAAATTTTGAGGCAACTAAGAAATACTGAACAACTATAACACCAGTATAATTTACATTTTCTAAAGTAAAAATGGTTGTAGAAGACAAAGGCGACTATTGAATAGCAGCTTAATGCCATATTTAGTGTCAACATATATGCTAAATATCTAGCATTATTATACCATTTATTAACTCAATTTTACCATGGGAAAATCTTTTTAAATATTTAAATCACAATTGCACGATGGTATAGCTCTAAAAGCCTCAAAAGGTGTCCTAACTTCCCTAAATCTTTCCCTAATTCAATGTATGCATATTTTATTTTAAAATAACATTACATTTGCTTTTTTGGTTTTTTTTTTTGTTTGTTTGCTTGTTTGTTTTTGTCTTTTTGAGACAGTGTCTCTCTGTAGTCCCAGCTGACCTGAACTCACTATGTAGACCAGGCTGGCTTTGAACTCACAAGGATCTGCCTGCCTGTGTCTCCGGAGTGCTGGGATTAAAGGCGTGCACCACCATGCCCGGCTACATTTGCATTTTAAAAGAATTAGAAAATGACTTGCAACTCAAATCACTAACTGGTCAGTCACTCAGCTTTAAAGATGTTATCTGCATTTCTGTATAAAATAATTATTCTGGTCTACCTTATTTAAAAGCAATAAAAAGTATTCATCAACACTCATTAAGGGGAACTGATAGATCTAATGCAATATAGGAAAACAGACCTTAAAAGTTTTTCACCCCAGCTTTATTTATGGCTATCAATCTCAAATCATAGTCTAGATAATTTGAACTCATTTTCTCGAAAAATAAGTGTGTGATCTTGCATGGATGTCTAAACAATCTTTTTTACTTTCAATTTCTTCAAAAACATCATCTGTATAGTTGCTGCAAAGATCAATCCCATCTGTCAGAATGGAGAACATCAGTCCTATTTCAGAACATGTACACGTACAGAGTCTTAAAACACCAATGTTTTAACAAAATATCTCATGGATTTCAGACGTACTTACTTTCTAACATGATGGATTGGAGGAACCAGGATATCCAATTTGTAAAAGAGAAACAAGGGAAAAGAAAAAAAAAGTTATTTTTCTCACATAAAGCACAATTCATTTTACTGCTTCAACAAACAGGGCAATGTACAAGAACTAGCCTAAGGTCTTGGATGTGGCTGCCTGGGGGAGGTCAGAAGTCTGTAAAGAACATTAGGGTCAGGGCAACTCTAGCTCTTCCCTGATACTTCTACCATGTTTCCACTCTGCTCACAATACGCATGTGTCTCCACATGTAAATAAGAAATAAATAGGCAGCATATGCCCCTTCCTCATTTGTCTTTTGTGCCCAGTAATTGTGCCCTTTTCCTACACACCTGTCAGTCGAGATACACAGCTCACTGTACTTATTGGCCTTTCCCCCCGGACTGTAGGGTTGTGGAACCCTTTGGTTTGTTTTCATTTCCCACAACCCCTGAAGCATAACAGGGGTGGAATTTGGAGGCAGGGGAGCAGGCATAATTTAAACTGTCTAGACATCAAAGAACCCCCAGAGACACTTTGCAGAGCCCAATGCTATGTGAAATACAGAAAAACCATTTCTTTCTATCATCGAATTGCTGATGGAACACATAAAATTTTACTGACGGTGAATGTTTAGTGCAAAGAATGGACAGCTTGTCTATTTAAGTAATGTCAAACACCAGGAAGAACACTGAGGAGCATTACTGAAAGAAGGTGTAGGGAAATAACAATGGCTGTCACAATCATAGGCATCCATTCCTTTACATATTAAATAAATATTTCATAAGAACACTTAAGTCACCCAAATCTTAGACTGTTCTACTCTATGAGTGTAGTTAGTAAAAAATGTAACATAAAAGCTTGTGAATATTTAAAATCTCACTTTCCAAATATGTTAATATGAAATTAATGGAACCGGAGAGATGGCTCGGTGGTTAAGATCATTGACTACTCTTGCAGAAGACCTGGGTTCAATTCCTAGAACCCACATGGTGGCTAATAGCCATCCATATCCAGGGGAATTCAATGCTCTCTTCTGACCTCTGTGGGCAATGCACAACATGGGTGCACTGACATGCATGCAGACAACACGCTCATTCACATAAAAATAAAACTGATAAAACATTTTTAAAAAAAATTAATGCTGTGTAACTTAAGCCTAAAAACTCAACACCCTCGGTAAGCAATTATGAAACACCACTACAGACAGAAACTGTGAAGTGCTATTTTATTTTTTTATTTTTTTAATATTTTATTTATTATTTTCATTTTATGTGTATGAGTGTTATGCCTGCCTGTTGGTAAGTGCACCCATGTCATAAAATGCCTGCGAAGGACAGAAGAGGCTGTCAGATCCCCTGGAACTGGAGTTATGGACAGTTAGCTGCCATGTGGGTGCTGGGATTCGAACCCAGGTCTTCTGCAAGAATAGTCAGTGTTCTTAACCACTGAGCCATCTCTCTAGCCCCGAACTGCTATTTTATAAACTATTCTATGCTCACTCTCCTTTCAGAAATATATTCCCACTCCAAGCTTTGAGAAAATATCTTCATTATAAAGCATATAGATTTGAGAATAAATTACGTAAACTTTGGGAATGCAAGTAAGATTTTAAATGTGTATACAGGATCTTTGTGCTCACAGCGAAAAATGAACCGTTTATACTGGGGATTTGTACACTTTACAAGTTATATTTTGCAAACAATGTTCTAAGAATGAATGCTTTGGTTTATTTGGCTATTTATCTGTTTAACAGGCATGGGCCTGCCAGTGGAGGAAAGCTAACCATGTTACAGGTGAATGAGGATGTTTCTATGTACTCATAATAACGCAGTTCATGTCCACTGATAAATCAGTAACTTAGAAGATCAAAACTACCCTAGAAAACCAAGAGCACACTAACTTCTTGCTGTTATATCACCTTTAGTGATAACCGAAAGAAATTCTTTAAAAACCAGAGGCTTGTGTATATATATTTTGCAGGAATAATATGTGTATACATGAAAAATGTGTTTGAAATGGCATATTATATGAGTGATCACAGCACAAAATGTACATAAAACAGGAGCTATGATAAATCTGACATGATTTTGAGAACAGAGTAGTGAAACTCAGGATCCCTGGAATAAAATTACTAGAATTTTGAATGAACACTGAGACATGGGGAATAACAAGAATTTAGACAAATATAAAAGTAAGTTGAAACTCAGACTGACTCAGATAGGGGATGGGTCATATGTCAAAGGAATATACTTTTAAAATTTATGTGCGAGTACATCTACATTATATTTTCAGTGCTAAGCATCAAACCCAGGGCTTTGTCCACATATTTTAGGCAGGTACTGCACCACTAAGTTAAGTCCCAAGCCCTTCCTATGGTTTTCAATATTCAATATGTTCCTAATATAACTTTGGTATACCTTTTATCAAGTGCAGCTATTGAGGCAAGGGATAAAGAGCAAATAGCATACATGAATTATGTTGTACATTAATCCTTGAATTTAGAGAAAAGATTTCAGACATCCTATCTTAACAATTAGCTTTGATTGCCTTCATTATAGAATATCTGACATTCTTAGATATTTGAGTCCAGAACTTTCATCCACTTTCGAAAGATTACTAAGTTATTAATAGATCCACCATAGTAATTCATAGAGACCTACTTACTAAACAGATATTTTATCTTGGAAGGCAAAAATTTCAAAACTTCAATGGAAGGACAAGATGTTATTATTTTAAGCAGTATCTATAGTGACATTAGAAATACTTCTATATAAATACAAATGAAGCATATAATCTACATTATATAAATTTTCAGACTCTGCTAGACAGAGGCAAGGTGGTCACTGTTAGTTACAGACATCGAATGGATCATGTGCCACATGTGTAGCTGGACATTGGTAATTGTTTCCCCACAGATACGCATACCATGCCACGTGACAGGCCTATTACAGAAGGTGGTAAAATACTAGTACGTCTCAGCCCAGAGCTAATGTATCTGAGTACAACTGAGACCGGAGAATTTACTAAATATGTCACATTTTAATAATACTCTTCAACTACAAAATGTGAACATTAAAAGTTTCTGCATCATGAAGGACTGTTCTGAAGACTGAGCTGAGCATGGAAAGTACTGAGGACAGTGTTTAGCACAGTGTACGGTTCAAAGACTGTCTGAAAAAATGATCGCAAATTCCATCATTGCTTCTCAAAGTAACCAACATCTAGACAGTCAAATAACAGCAAATGGAATGAAACTAGCATTTCTGAGCTCATTTGAATAACTGCCCAGGTATGATTTCTGTTTAATTTTTAATTTTATCTTCATCTCATTACCAAAAATGAGTGAACACACAGACATGGAGAACACACTAGTCTACAATCTTTCACATATGGGTGATACTGAAAATGAGCGAGGAGAATAGCAACAGGTATCTATTACTCTGCTTCCTGTTCACTAAGCGTCTCCGCAGTGTTGCAGGCTTTTGCAACTGTTTCCCTTTTCCTTATAGTGATCATAAAACATAAGCACGATTCTCAGTTTTACAGATGTGACTTAGGCTCAGAGACTAAAAAAAAAAAATTAAGTCTAAAAACAACTGAGAGACAAGAAATTCGAATTCTGACTTGACTCCAAAGCCTAATGTAATTCATAAACATTAAAGATGAAAGAATTTTAAGAGCACCCAGCAGAGAATTCAGACCCATCACTGGGATGACTCTGCAGAACTAGATCATTAAAGAAAAAAAATCTATTCTTTGAACAAACATTTATCCAAACACTATATATGTCAGACTAATCTTGAAATAAATTTGCTCACAGACAGTGCTTTGCACATAATAGAAACGTATGCTGAGCTGAACTGAATTTCCTGAATACATATGAAAGGACAGGGGATTTACAGGAAAGGTAGCCTTGAGCCATGTTAAAGCCAGACGAAAATCATTTGGAAATGAAATACTGTCCTTACTTAGCTTATTCCTGGGAAATGGCCCTCATCAACTCCAAGAACAGCAGCAGTCACCATGGACACTATGAAGCGCCTCTCCATCCATGAGAGGACAAAGGAAATATTTCCAAGTTTATCAAAATGAGTCTTCCAAAATAAAATCGTGTATTTTTTGTATTAAGGAACAGACACTGCGTCTGGCAGGATAAAATACTGTCATATTAAAATGGAGACCTAGACTGTATTCCACCAACTGCTAATCACCTTCTCCTGTCTAGTTAGCAAGTTAATACTGGTCCCCAGATCCATCTATGAGATGTTAGACAATGAATGCTCCAAAAATAATCATCAAATGACTTTACAGAATATACACCTCTTATATGTTTCCCTTCCCTAAATTCACCAAATTTATCAGAAGTACATACAGAAATCTCTGAAAAGTCTATCTTAACTTTGATTCCTGTCTGTACAATAAAAGAAAACACCAAGTATACCTTAAGCAATGTGTCCTGGTATGCCAAAATTTTACACAAGACAATCCTGTCTGCATTTATGTGACTGGGATCACTAGCAAAAAGTACCTACCAGTAACCACTCCCAGGGATGTTCAATTTTATTCCCCAAATCTGACAAGATTAGCTTAAAAGTATATAAAACATCTAGTTTAAAATGTTCTTTTTTATTTTATGTGTATGAGAGTTTGCCTCCCAGTATGTATGTATACCCTGTGTGTGCCTGGTGACAACAGAGGCCAGCAGAGGGCCCCTGGCAATGGAGTAACAGAGGATTGTTAGCCTTCAGATGGGTGCTAGAACCAAGCCAGTGCTCTCAACCACTGAGCCATCTCTCCAGTCCCTAAAACATCCATTTTGTCATAGCAAAACATAATGCAATGTGATGGTTTCTGCCCATGCAGACAAAAATTGAAAGAAATACTCAAGAACTTGAAGTAGCATTGAAAAATGTATAAACAGTATCTATGTGCAATTAAAGTGGCATCTATTTTCAAACCTGCATGGCTAACAGATGACACAGTGAACACAGAACTATTTTTCTTGATTCCCGAAGGCGCCTCCTTCATCATCCATGACTGAAACACCTCAGATTCTTTCTACTTTGTGTCCACAAACTCTCACCAAATCCTCATCTTAAATTCACATTTTTTGCTTTTGTATATTCTAATTCAAACATCGCCTCACCCACAAGAGGACCATTCTATTGTCTCAAACTGTTCTTTCTGTTTTCAGTATCCTCCTGCTCCAATTGGATCTATATTTTTGGACATGTAATTTTGTTGCTTAAACACACACACACGCACACGCGCGCGCGCGCGCGCGCACACACACACACACACACACACACACATAGACTGTTCCTTAGGCTACATCATTCTGGTACTTTTTTGTTTAATTGATGATTTTCACTGCCCACCAAAGGAAACTCAGTTTTCCCATTGACAGTTCATTCGCTTGCAATGCACCTGGCACCGATCTCAGCTTCACTTGCTCCAACTCTCAGACATCACCCTACAGTCACACCAGTTCAGTCAGCCTTCATGCCTCTGCTCTAGCTGCTGGCCCACAGGAAGCTCTGTGGCTAGAATTCATCACTCTCATCGACAATGCTTTATTTTTCTATTCAAAATACAAAATTTAAAGGAGAATTTAACTACCTTCCACATGGCAACTTCTGTGATCCAAGGAGATCCCTCTTCCTCTAAAACAGTCTCAATGCTTGGCATCTCTCTCATGTTTTGTCTGTAACAGCTGTTGCACCTCTATCTCTCTCTTTCCTTCCCCTACCCCTTCCAGCCACTTTGAAAACTCCACAGGGAAAAACACGCATGTTCATCTTCATGTTCCCTGGCAAGCCACCCCAGTGAACTCTGAGGTGCTTATTGCTCTAAAGCTGCCACAATCAGAGAGACGACACAAAACCCCTGCAATGGGTATCACCAATATTCTGTTACTCTGTTTAAATTCAGGGCCACAATCTGATCAGACAACTTTCTACATACCAAGCAATCTGCGGTGGACATGTTATGCTTGTATACATGGCAACCCTTTCTTTCAGAATCCCTCCTTTATTCATGTGATTCTAGTGTAGCAATCCATGAAAGCGTCTTGATTTTTCTATCTGGAATGATGCCTAAATGATATGAATTTCCTGGTCATAATGATCAGGAGTTTGAGTATTTTTTTGAACAGTGATGTAGAAATATAGAGATAGAGCTTAAGTTAATTTCAGTGAAAATATCTGTAAAGACAAAGAAACAGTCGACTGGGACATAACCCTGTCTCCATAAAGAAAGAACCTCCAAAGAATAAAGATAGCCAGAGCAAACTAAAACCAAACTCAGAAGGAGAAGAGAAAGGAAATGATGTCCCTGGAACTCCTGCATCAAGTTGCAGTCATGTTGAATATCGACCCATGGGAGGCAGAAGTTAAATAAGGCTAGAATTTCCCTACTGACTTTGACGCCTGACTAATAGAGAGTCCTAGAACAATCACATAACATCTCCAAGTTTCAATTTATTCATGTGTCGCATGATGAGTTTAACACGGATGTGTTTTTAAATTATTTTTATTATGTTTATTTACTTATTCTACATGTGTAGGAGACGGTCATAAAACGTGGAAGTAAAGGACTACTTGTGGGAGTGAGCTCTCTCCTTCCACTTTGTGGGTTTTAGGGATTAAACTCAGGTCATCATGACTGGGGGCAAGCACCTTTACCCACTAAGCCATCTCACTGGCCCAACAGTCTTCTAACACATTTCTAGTTAAGGTTTTAAGTCAATTAGTAACAATTTCACTCCTAGCTTTCCAAAGTTCATTCCAACCGTGCTCCTGTCCACACAGTTCTCTCATCTTCAGTGCTCTTTGCTCCCAATCGTTACTAATGGCTTCTCCTGTTCGTAACGACCCTCATTGCACTCTGCAGGGATTTCATCTTATGCTGCCAGGGTACCATTTAGCTCCGGCCAGTCTAGCACCATGTTGCTGCTGGTATTCTTAACTCTAGTAATGATTCTCTGTGCCCCCCACGTAGTGCCCTGCCAAGTTTCACTACTCAGAAGGCATTGAGAGATTGTTGATAAGCTAACATTTCACAATTTACAACTTGGAACAAAATTGGAAGCTTAACAATTCCAAGAATTGGCTTAAGATATACAGACATGGGAGTTAGGAAATTTTCTACTGAGAATATCAGCTGATCTAACCCAATTTGGAAATCCATTTGGCAATATCTAGTGAAAAGAATCTGCATGCTCTACAGATCAGCAATTCTACTCTCTGGTATAAGCTCTAGAAAATCTCATATTGTACCAAGAGACACTTGTTAGAGGAAAAAACTACAAATAATCCGAATGTTCAATAGCCTATAACCATGAATGTAGATAAAGTTAAATCTAGGTAACCACAGTAAAAATACAGACCATAAAGTATAGTACTATACAGCAAATTGCTGATTCTGATTGCCTCTGAGGAGAAAGAAGAAGCTCAAAGAAACCTCAGCTTTTTCTGTAAGAATTTATTTAGAATAAATCCAAAGTAAACGTGGCAAGTCTACATGTTAATTCCAAATGGTTTCTTCTAGTGTATCAAGGTTCTAACTCTTTTCAACTTTTTTTCAAAATAGAAGAAAGAAGACTGTTATTATTGTTTGACCCATAATTTAGCTTCCAGGTCAAGCATACGTTCCCCACTGGTTCAATTTTGTTAATGGCCAATTATTTTGTAGGAAGCCAGCACCTACTTCCATAGAATGGACAGAGGTGCATTATTATAGGCAAAGTCCCTCTCAACTCCTCCAAATCCCATGCATTCCTTCAAGAATAGTAACTACTAAAGAGCTAATATATTTTATTCCCCATCTGTAAAATTTATATCCATATGTGTGTACACACACACACACACACACACACACACACACACACACACTCAATTCTATGGATCAGATAATTGTTTTTCAGTTGTTGAATAATGATAAGTATGCTTCTATACATACAGTGACAGAGATTTTCCCACAGAACATTTTACTTTTTGGCTTTCAACAATCCTCAGAATCTTAGATGTTTTGAAAAATCATATGAAGTAGACATATTGTATAACAATTTACATGTTTATTACAGAAGACTTAGTTTGTATAACATGCTACTCACTTACATAGTGAAGTAATAAGGAGACTCATTACAAGCATAACAATCTTTGTGGAATAAATTTCAAAAGCTGGGTTTTTAGTCTGAAGGATCCATTAAAAGTATCAAAAGCTTCCTTCTAATAAAGTACCTACTCAATGACAGATGGTATTAATTTTAAACTTTCATTAATCAAATCAAGGGTGGATGCCAAGGGATCACTCCAAGTCAAGGAAAAAGCATGAAGGATAAATAAATGGATGGGACAGAGTGTCCCACGAAGCCCCATGGTTAGTTGGTATTTCTAGAATAATGACTCTCAGGCAGACTAGAATTCAGATCCCTGAGAAATTTTGTGTACCGTGCCATGATAAATGATATTTGCTACAATCTTTTAAATGTCATAGCAAGCAAGCCTAAACTTCCTGTAGGAGGTAATGTTGTACCTGAGAGGATTTTAACATCTATCAGCTTGAGGACAGATTTAAACTGAGACCAACCTAGAAGATAAAGCAATGAGGGATACACACTGTGGACATGCAAAATATACGGCAGGAAGTTCGCCAGCAAGCACAAGGATGCAGAGAAAGCGGCAAGACACTCACGTGAATGGAGGGGGCCTTTAGCCATGGAAGACACTCACGAGGGTGGAGAGGGCCTTTAGCCATGGAAGACACTCACGAGGGTGGAGAGGGCCTTTAGCGCCACGAAGAGTGTGTGCCTAGCAAGGGCAAGGCCCTGGGCTCCATCTCCAGCAAAAAACAGAGTGGAAAAAGGTATAATTAAGTATGTGAGATAAGGGTGGGTAGGATTTAGAATTGTTTCTGAGACTGCAGGTAAATGGAAGTATAATTAGTTAAGGGGTGTAATACAGAAAAAGTGAGATTGTGGTTGCTTCAAGGACAAGAGGCAAACTGTTGTATAATTAGTATAGGCAGTACAAAAGTGGTACGTTTGGAAGCAACATGGTGAATTTACCTCTGATAATAGTAAAGGTAGGTGTGTAAAATTCAAACACACATTAGAGTCATTGTTGGGACTGGAGATCAACCCTGGGAATCATCAACCCACAATGGACATTTGGGGTGGTGACATTCCATACAGAATCACAGTAAGAGAAAAATTATTCACTTGAGTTTATTATTTGGTTTTTTGTTTGGCTAGTTGTCTGGTTTTGAGACAGGGTTTCATTATGCGGCCCTGGCTGGCCTGGGTCTCCAAATCACGGAGATATGCTTACCTCTGCCTCTTGGGTGCTGTGATCAAAGGCATGTGCCACCACACACATTGGTGGCAATGACCTTCTGTGAACAATGCCAAAAGCCTCTTCCATGAGCTGCATGTCATTTAACTTTGTGGCTCATATTTGCATATATGGGAAGCCCATGATGCTGGATTTCCCCTTTGTAGTTTATAGCTGTGAAAGGTTATTTCTCAATCGAGGATGAATCTCAATCTGATAATTTTTCTCCGATGAACTTCTGGTGTCTTCCTCAATATAAAACACACCGGCACACTGCATACTCAATCTAGGTGTATCATGGAGCACCATCTGCTACTTATGTCTGATCCTTCCTCTCATCCCTTTAATGGCAGTTCTAATCTGAAATTTCTTGATCAGCAGAATGTCAAGAGAACTCAGCTCGGAATTTTGCTGGCTGTGAGAAAATTTTACCTTTAAATGTTTGATAAAGGAAATATCTAAAAATAACTATACTAGCCACTGCTGTTAAGATTGGCTTTCATACCATAAGACAAATATTAATTTAATTTAGCTTTCCTCTTTCTTTGACCAGTCATATTCTCAAGATAGTTTTAGCAATGTCTTTGATTAGACATTAAATATATTTAATAAGTACACCTTAATAAAATGGTGAATTTCAAACACCATAATTTTTATGATGATATGAAATACATCTGCAAATTCTGCAGAATTTTAAAGTAAAAACATTTTATTTTACATTTGATTTTACCTAATTTCTGAGTAAGCCCTCTTATGGAAACAGTACATTTTGGAAAGGAATGTGAATACAAAGACCCGTAGACTCAAGTGTCCCTTCCTTCCCCAAACTTAGTATGCGACACATAAAAATATGTATTGGGTATCAGCAGCTGGTCTAACAGAGATGCAATTTACCTGGTTCTTGTTTTAATTTCATCACTGTGGAAATGTGATTCATAAGAGATAGAAATTAGAATCAGAGATTTTCTAAGTGCTTAGGTTTGGTACAAGTCAATAGTAACCGTCTTAACTACAGAGCAGGGGACTGAGAGCAATACAAATATTTAAAGAGAATAAATAATAATACTTTATTCTGTCACTATGGAAAACTATCAAATTAGACATGTAAACATACTAATAAACTCCCAGAGCAATACAGTTAAGAGGTTATGCATGTATTAATTCTGTTTTATATTAAGATTCTTCCTGAGGAAAAGCATGCCCCACAAGGACAAACATATGCCTGGATATAACAAAATTCCCTGAATTGCTATTTGACAACAGTGTCAACATTCCAACCAGGTCCATAAATAATCCCCCAGAGAATAACTCCAGCAAGGAAAAGGGGCAGAACAAGATGTAAAGAGAATCAAGGTAGAAAGGCAGAAATGTCTGGCAGGGGAAGAATTCAAGATCAGCCACTTCAAAACTCCTCCCACACAGCTGACCAAATGCAACTGAATGAGCACTGGAGGAAGATCTAGAAAACCAACCGAGCTTATGCCACGATAGGAGTCATGTTCTTGTCTTCCTTTGTTTTATAACCTTCCTAAAGACGCAGTTTAGAATATCACAGCTTCTGGCCATTTGTTGGACATTTGGGTAAGCACAGCTACAGGCTACTTGTGTACCTTGAGATAATATT